AGCCCCTAAGGGTCCAAAACAGTTGGCACGAGGCCCAAATATGACATTCAACCCTAAACATGGTAACAATTTCCAAAATCCCCAACGATGCATGACCCCACGCTTGTCATCTAGCGTGTGCGTCACCTCAAAGTAGCATAACGATGTGAAATTCGGGGTTTCATACCCTTAGGACAACATGTACAATCATTACTTACCTCAATCCGGTCCAAACTCTAGCCCGCGATATCTTTCCCCCTCGACTCGGCCTCCAAATGCTCCAAATCTAACCAAAATCATATTCATACCATCAAAATATGCTAAGGGAACAAAGCTCACTCGAAAATAACCAATTTACAAAAAAAATAACGAAATTGACCAAATGCGACCCTCGGGCCCACATCTCGAATTTCGATAAAAATCACAAACTAGAATCATTACACTCTCATGAGTTCATACATACTAAATACATAAAAATCCGACCACAAATGACCCCTCAAATCCCCAAATCAAAATCTCCAATTTCAAGCCCTAACTTTCCAAATTTTTCACCTCTAATCACATAAATTCCATGTTTAATCCGTAAAATATCACCATAGAAACGAGTTTTAGTTCCAAGAATCTTATCTCCACGAAGTTCCCTTGAATTCTTTCTTCAAAATCTCCCAAAAAAGCTCTCAACCGGACTTAAAAATGGTGAAACAAAGCTGAAAATCGCAAAGGAAACCTTATATAGGTTCTGGCCCAGGGATTCCGCACCTGCGGCCTAAACCACGCTTCTGCGGATCGCACCTGCGGTCAAGACAACACACCGCATTTGCGGCCAAGCTCCCGCTGACCCAAATCCGCTTATGCGGCCTCCTCTACACATATGTGGTGTCGCACCTGCGGTCCTCAATCTGTAGGTGCGGAAACAACAAGAGCAGAAATTCTGCAGCTACACTCAAGCTCCAACTCTTCCATCAACCATCCAAAACAATCCTGAGGCCTTCGGGACCTCAACCAAACTTGCCAACAAGTCACATAACATTATTTAAACTTGTTCCAACCCCCGGAACACTTAAAACAATGTCGGAACACCAAATCACCCTCGGATTCAAGCCTAAGGATCCTAAAACTTCCAAATTCTGCTTTCCATCAAAAAGTCTATCAAACCTCATCTGAATGATTTGAAATTTTGCACACACATCACAAATGACACCACGGACCTACTCCAATTTTCAAAAAATCCATTCCAATTCCTGTATCAAAATTTTCACTATCAAACGGAAAATGCCAAAATTCCAATTTCGCCAATTCAAGCATAAATCTACTCCGGACCTCCAAAATACATTCCGATCATGCTCCTAAGTCCCAAATCACCCAAGTTCCGAGATCATTTACTCACAAGTCAACTTCTGGTTGACTTTTCCAACAAAAGGCCAACTTAAGAGACTAAGTGTCTCATTTCTCTACAAAACCACTCTGAACCCAAACTAACCAACATGATGCGATGAAATACAGCTGAACAATATATAAAGAAGCAGAAATGGGGGAAACAGAGCGGTAACTCATGAAACGACCGACCGGGTCGTTACATCATCCCCCTCTTAAATAAACGTTCATCCTCGAACTAGTCAAGAAACATGCCCGAAGCCTCAAATAGGTGAGGATATCTGCTCCGCGTCTCCCACTCGGTCTCCCAGGTAGCCTCCTCCATGGGCCGACCTCTCCACTGCTCTTTCACTGAAGCAATGTCCTTCGGTAAGTTGGCGGCACATAGGTACTCGTCATCTCACCTATACGCCACGAACATGGATTTTCACATAGGCTGGCCCAGCTTATCTTCGCATTTACGATGAGAAGCTCGCAAATGCAAACAAAACAGTGGTCGCAAATGCGAAGCTTGACCTCTCATTTGCGAGGTCTAAGGCCTGCTACAAGACTGAAGAACACTAGCAATTTTTTCTAAGTTACAATTCACTCCGTGGCCTATCCGAAAACTCACCCGAGCCATCGGGGCTCCAAACCAAACATGCACACAAGTGTAAAAACATCGTACGAACTTGCTCGTGTGATCAAATCGCCAAAATAACACCTAGAACTATGAATTTAACACCAAATCACATGAATTTCCCAAAAACACTTCAAAATTCCTATTTTTACAACCGGACGTCGAATCACGTCAAACCAACTCCGTTTTTCACCAAATTTCACGGATAAGTCTAAAATATCATAATGGACTTGTACCGGGTTCCGGAACCAAAATACGGGCCTGATACCAACAAGATCAAACATTAACTAAATTCTTAAAACCATTTAATTTTCAGACTTTTAATTTTCATCAAAAATTCATATCTCGAGCTAGGAACCTCAGAATTCGATTTCGGGCATACGCCCAGGTCCTATAATTCGATATAGACCCATCAGGACTGTCAAAATACAAGTCCAGATCAGTTTATTCAAAACGTTGACCGAAGTCAACTAAATCAACTTTTAAAGACAACAATTATTATTTTCATCAACTTTCAACATAAAAACTTTCCGGAAATACGCCTGGACTGCGCATGCAAATCGAGAAGGGATAAAATGAGGTTTTAAAGGCCTCGGAACAATGAATTTAGTTTTAAATTATAAGATGATCTATCGGGTCATCACAAGAAGCCAGTGTTATGAGGCGAAATCTGGCGGGACTACTGTGAAATTAACCCTTTTTATTGAGAAATTAAGATAGCCATGTTACCTTTCCGGGCAAAAAAAAAAAGGATCTTTGGACCATTGTTATATTTGTGTTAATATGGCTCTAGAAAGATGATTTTTATATTACAAACAAAGGAAAAATGACTTTTATATTACAAAGCTTAACTTGAATGGTTATCAGTAAAATTTACCTTTTAAAGCCAGCTCCTTTCAAGGCCATATGTAAACTTATGAGAAGAAAGTCAACAATGAGAAAGTTTTTCATGAGTTATGTGACTTTATTATATCTAACTTTTGGTGTAGAGAATCACTCAATACATATGATGATAGGATACAACATATCTGGTGAATTAATCAATATGTGCACCAACGTACTGATCTAAACAATTTAATCCCTATGTCTTTGTAAGATTTTTTTTTTTTGGTTGATTAGATTGGATCTAGACATCAACATAAAGTGACTTTATGATTTTGTATTTCTTTTTCTGTCCAATAAATTCAACCACCTTGAAGTGGTTTTTTTCTCTCAGCTTGAGAAAAATTCTTTTTAACCCCACAAGTAGCGGTGGCAAATGGTCGTGTCAGGTCGAATATGGGTGGGTCAAAAATGGATAATGCAAAAATGGATAAATTATCCAATTCAATTCATATTTAACCAGTGAATTAGTCGCGCTTCACGCGATCAATAAAAACTTTAATAAATTTAGAAAGTGATTGCTTTGGTTAGTTATTACAATTTGAGAAGTTAATAAAGAACGTGGATTTTCTTTATTTTTCATATATCTTCTAAATATACTTAACATATTCCAAAAAAGAAAAAAACTCAAATGAAATTTAATGTGTTAACTGTAGTACTTGAATCCCAAAACACACTTTGGGACGTCGAATAAAAAATTGTTTGCATTAGGTATTTTGATTCTCCTTTTATAATTTAAAAACCACTCCATCCGGTTCGAAAACAAAGTTTTGAAATTTGGTATTTTAGAAAACAAAGTTTCATAGTGTTATCTTTCCTTAACAATTTTACCGTTTTCTTTTGTACTTGTTTCTTCCTATTTAATGTATCTTTTCTTTTCACCAATAAACTTGAGATGTCAATAGCAAACTTGACATCAACCATGATATCAATTTGAGATGTTAACTAATATCTACTTGACAATAAATTTGAGATGTAAACTAATATTTACTTTCGTGATCAGTTAATAGCAAACTTTCATAATGCCCGAAAAATCAACCAAAAATTAAGTAGAGATGAAGAAGTACATGATTTAGTGCTGGACTGAGTACAAATAACATATTCTTAGTTGTCAGAAATTTTAGCTTGATGATATAGAAGAATATACATATAAACCAAATGGAAAGTGATATTCAGCCAAAAATGCATATATTCACCAATTGTTGCCTCACGTTCTAGTATTTTTAATCGTTTTTTGAGTGTTAAATATATTATTTTATGCTTAATATTATATTTTAACTGTATAGGAATAAAGCGGTAGGAAAATAAATAGATTTGAAATAAAATTGAATAAAATGCGGAAGAAAAAGAAAGAAAATTGTAAGTATAAAAAAAAAGGGGACACCCTTTGGTTTTGTCCCCAAGTGGAAGACAAAGAAATGGAATTCAAAGAAAAAAAACAAGGCAAAAGAAAAACGTACCTGGCAGCTCAAGAATTGAAAGACGGAACGTGAAATCGCTTACTGCTTTCAGCGCCACGGCTAGCGTGAGGCGCTGGCCTGGACGCTAGGTGACGTGATTTTTCTAACTTCGTTCGGGACAAGGTTGTTTCGGTCCTACACGGCCTCAACTCGTATAAAAGGAGTTCTAAACTTAATTTGGAGGGGAACTAACATACTTTGAAGGAGAATTCACGGACGGGACTTGGAGAAGGCTTCTAACTAGTTTTTCCTCTCTTCTCTTCCTTTAATCTCATAGTTTATTAGTTCTAAAGTTTTGGGTGCTACATAAACATTGTAGTTTGAAACTTGAATTGTTCTTATTATTTTATCATATCAGTTTATTTATTCAATCTTGCGCTTAATTATTTGATTGTTTGATCACCAATTGAATACTTTCTACGAATTTTTGATTGAACTCGGAAGAGAGAATTTTAGATTGCAAATAAGATTGAATAGAGCAAGATCTTGAACTCGACACTACAACAACTTTGGCCTACGACCATACTAATTTTAGACAACTCTTGAAAAGCGTTGCCAAAAGTATTTGTGGGCACGCTTTTAAGGGGTGGCCTTTGCTGAGAGTTTTAGGCTACACAATTTAGGCAACACTTGTAAAGTGTTCTTTTTAACTACAAAGCCTACGCTTTTTAAGTGTTGTTAAATTATAAAATATTTGACAACACTTGCTCACAAATATGGCAACTCTTTTAAAAGGTTCGGTTTATTCATCCTAAAACTAGCTCTTTATAAGTGAATTGTAAACCTTTCAATAAAATTCCCACAAATATTTCCCCCAATTATTTCTCTTAAGTGAAATATTCCCCCCAGTTCTGAAGAAACCTCTAAAATATTCCTCCTTTGAAATTTCCCAATCCCTTTCCGTGTACTCCGACTCCTCCACCCGCTTACAACGACCAAGTCTATTCAGAACAAAAGATGGAGTTTCGGCAATGAAACTAATTGAGATGGTCTTGCACTGACTCAACTTGTGTTGGCTCCTTCGGCGACACTTCCTCTGCAGCACCCAGTCAAGTGCCGCCATCGATTTGTCTGCACCTTTTGTTCCTTTACGAAAATCGATAACTCTGCTTCCATACTTGTATGTGCTGATTTTGTCAAACCCACTTTGATTAATCTCTCTTTACTATTACTTTTTTTGTGTTTAATTTCTTTACTTAGAACTAAATATAATTTTGGTACGGAGTTTTAGTGTTGCACTCTAAATCTTAATGGATTTGAAGTTGTGAAATAAAAAACCCTTGTTGCACTTGAATGATTGTTTAAGGGCTTCTCGTGCTTATTTTCCCCTAATATTTTCAGGTTTCTATAATAATTTTTTGTCATATTACGAAAGAAATTAGTTTGCGTTCAATTTCTTGTACGCCTTATAAACCAACCCACGTCCTAATATTGAAGTGTGTTCAATTTTTGACAGTTTATGCAAGGGCGAGATAAGTAGATCTGACCATCAACGACAGTGATGAAAGACTTGAAAATTCGTCTCTAGAGGGAGATAGGTGAGAGTTTGATTTTGTACAAAAGAAACATCAATTCGCTTGTGTGTATTATTGGATTCCGTAGATTTAAGGGAGATGGAATGGGGTGGTAAGAATTTTTTTAAAAAGTAATCTAACATAGGATGTGCATTTTTGGCTTCCGCAATAGCCAAAAAATATCTCCATAATGTTCTTTTCATAATCTCATGAGACTTCTTTAGCTTAACTAAACATCATATCTGCTATTAAAAGCTACATGGCATATGCGATATTGATTGCTTTCCTTTTGATGAAGTCGATGCTCCTTCCAATTTTCCTCTTGATTGAATTTGTGTGCATTATTACTGAGAATTCTATGGTTTAAGCTCAAAGCTTATTTCTTTAAAAAAATGTGACATGATCAGTTTGTGTTTGTGTTTTATCCTTTTCCTTTCCTTTGGATATATGCTTGCTCACTACTAAAAGGTTTTATATTGGATTAATATGAATATAATATTATTTTTTTATAGGTATGAATATGGTATCGTTATGTAAAAAATCAGGTATGCATTGATTTATCAGCGAGTTCTTGTTTTGTCATGGTGACAGTTAGATAGTTATTATTTATGTGGTTTTGTGATATTACCTTATAGTTGCTATCATCTACATTGTTTTTTGTACTGGAATGCTTCCATGAAACTCCATATTGTATCTATCCAAAAAGTGAATTGCCATCCATTGTTATCAAGAGCAGTGTTAATATTATACTTTGTGAATCAAGTTGCTGATATTTCTATTGTGCAACACTTAAAATCTTTGATCTAACTAATAACCTTACGGTAGGAATCTAACTTATATGGTTAGGTTCCTTTTGTTTCTCTATGCTTGAGAATGTTACTAATATAATCTAAATTCTGTTATTAGGTTTATTATGTAGATATTTCATTTTTTACCTGCATTTTGTCAATCTATTGATAAAATAGATATTTGCAGATTCACTGCCTATTGCAAATTCTACTTAGTTCATCCTTGCAAAATATCTCCTATTGGACGTGTAAATATTGGCAAAAAATAAGTAATGGCTATTACTTCATTAAAATAACTACTAGTAAATAATTTATGATCAATCTAATTGGATGCCGATCTAGCCAGTTGATATATAAATTATGGGTTTGATATTTATAGATTTTTGTGCAAAGATTGAGTTTGTTGAAACTTTCTGTTTCAAGATACCTTGAATGAAAGTAAGACTAATGCGTTCCATAAGGAACATAAAGATTTTTGGACTTTGCCAAGTATTTTTATACTTAAAAAAAATATTATATATTAAATATTGTTAGTATTACAACCCATACAAAGTTAGTTAATTCTTTTTGATTTTGGATTCATCATCCATATTTAGCATACTGAAATCTTTCTCATGTACTAGGTATTCATCTGACTTATGGTTATTCATTAATGCATTTAGGAAGCTTACTTGTGACTTTTAGTGTGATGTGATTTGGACTTTCCCTTGGTATTTAGGTTGTTGGTTCATAACTACATGAAAAGAGACATACATTGGCAGAACTTAGTTGAGAACACAAAGCAGAGAAATGCACTTTATAAGGTTACTTAAGCAAATATCTGGTAATTTTTCTATCCAATTAAACAATTGCTTTATTTTTCAAGCTTCTTGCTCGTAGAATTCTAAAACATATACTACTGTTGAAGCCGAAACTATGATTTTATCCACCAGTTATTTTCTCTAAAATCAGTACTCCATTATAACATATGTTCAACTTCATTAGAATGTTTTATGCTTCATACCACCTAGAAATTAGAAAAATATTTCATACCACCTAAAAGTTTATGCCTTCTTATTACTTAGTTTTATCGTCTTTGAGGACATTCATAAGGCGAAGCGAAAAGCATCTTACCTACATATTTGTGAAATCAAACAAATTATTGTCTTGTACAAACAGAGGCGGATCCAGGATTTGAGCGCAGCTGGGGCACCACTATTGACATAGATATGTCTGCTAGTAACGACAAAATTTGACGTGTTAACTCCTTAAAAACTTAGTGACTTTCAGTCAGTGATCGAAAGTATATTAAAAAATATCAAAAATTTAGTCTAATAAGATCACGATTGAAAGTCTGTAAAGCAGAAGTCTCAGTCGTTGTCGTTAAATCGATGGACATCTACTACTTTGCCGAAATGATCCTTGAAGGCAGAAGCTTTTTTGGAGTTTTTTTAATTACTGTTTTTGGGAAAAATTGATATACTTATTTTTATACATGTAAAGAAACTGGTAATGCTTATAAACTTAGTTAGCATGATAAAGAAGATGATTGACTTCTTGCTAATGAAATATCTTATCCCCTTCTAATTTCCTTTAATATTTGTTTATGTCTCTCTATTACCTTTTTTATGTCTAGAAGGATATTTCTCAAAAAGCGTTTGAGACTATTTTATGTAGAAGTTGACTACTATGTACTAGTGGCTAGTGCTAAATAATTATTTATGGCTATTGGAGCAACGCTTGGGAAGGGTTGCTTATAAGTTGACGATGAGCACGCTTCAAAAGTGTAGCTACAGGACATAAAAAACATGGCTATTGTAAAGCGTGGCCTTTGCCTCATGAAAAGCGTTTCCTTAGGGCAAAGGTTACGCTTGCTTAGGCCACCCCCTGAAAAGCGTTGCCTTAGGTCAAAAAGTGTGGCTTTTGATCAAATGCCACACTTTCTAAAGCTTAGGCCACACATTTTGAGTGTGGTTAAAGGCCTAAAATGTTGTAGTGCGAGCATCGGGAACAAATTTGTGGTTAGAATAGGAATATACCTAATCGCCTTGATTGGTTATTGTACGGGAATATAAATGCGTTCTTGGTAATCCTAATTCCATAGGAATATAGGCGTTAGGTTAGCTTGAATAGGCGAGTAATACTTCGGGAGAAGGCTACGAGCAATATTAATTTTGTCAATCAATAAATCAGATAAATTAATTAGAAGATTTAAGTGAAAAACTCAACGAGATTGTTAGCTAACCCATAGCTGTAGAATATTGTCTCTCATTGAATCGGTCTCTAATATTCCAAACTTGTTTCCTTTAATCTCTTAGTTTATTACTCTAGATTAGTTTTTGTTAAATATTCATACTTTAGGATTCGCTTGAATAGATTAATTGCCTTAGTTTAATTAAGTAAATAGTTAATCATAAGTCCTTGTGGGTACAATATCTGGACTTACAATCCTATATTACTTGTCGACCATGTATACTTGCGTGTGCTTTTTGGGGCAACAAATTTTTGGCTCCGATGCCGTGGACTTAGAATTTAACTATTCTACTAGATTAGATTTTTTGCCTTTTGTCTATTCAAGTTTTTTTATTTTTAGTTTAATTTAATATTTTCTTATCTTTGTTTACATTACATCTTGGAATGAGAATTGGTCGAATATTGATTATTCTTATTATGGTGATCCTTGTCCATATTGTGGAGGACCACACTTATGGCAAAATTGTGAATCTCAATCTTATGAGTGGAATATTGTAATTTGTGTGGTGGTCAAGGTGGCCATTGGGATGGTTGTCCTAATTCTTATTATCCTTCTTAGAGCTCTTATTATGATGTTTCTAATAATTTTTATGAGCAATAAAGTGGAGGATATGGAATGCGTTGCTCGTATTATGGACATAATGAGCCATGTAGCCGAGCAACAAGATGTAATGAGGCAAGTAGCCAAGCAACAAGATGAAATTTACAAAAAGATTTCCTTAGAGATCAAAGGACTGCAGGCTAGAAAGGACAAATTAATGGCCAATTTTTAGGAAGAACCTCAACTCGACGAAGAGGGCAAGTTCCCATAAGAAGATAACTTTGAAGAAGCAGATATCGTGAGCCAATATTGGTTAGAGGAACAAGCTCAACTGGTAAAATTTCATGGGGTTCTACGTAATAATCTTTCAAATATGGAAGAACAACTGATAGACGAAAGAACTGAGTTCTGGCAGGAGATAGAACAATTTGGCTCGGATATCCCTGACACATGCAGGCTCAATTAAATAAAAGGTTAGAGGCGTTTGATGCCCCACAACCAACTTTATAGATACTGGCGAGCTTATGGAGCAGAAAAAAGGAATTCCAACTACTCGACTAAAATATTATTAATAATGCCAAGGTTGACGAAGTGTGCAAAAGTGAGGATGTCAAAAGCGAAGCGATTCTAGGGTTGGAGCGCATTGGACCTCATTCTAACCATTTTTTAATGTTGTGCTTGGTTGGTGACACGAGAATTGATCCATTCGAGCCTATGGACGAGTCAATGAATGGGGAACAAAGTGCTTATATTCTGAAATTTGTGATACCAAGGAGATAAAACGACATTCCTCACCTAAGGGCCAAGAGGTGTAAGAGGCGATATCTATTGCTTGGTTCCTTTATTTTCACACCACCGCCCCATGAACGTGACGGAAAAATTGATGCAAAATTGAGGGCGCAATTCATATCCTCAAAGTAGAAGGAAAAGTGATTAAGTAGTGTAAGTTGTGCTACAATTACAAATAAGGCACTTGTTGGGAGGCAACCCAATTCTATTTTTTTGTTCTTTTGATTTTTGTTTTCTTTTATTGTGTTATCGTTGTAGTGTTGTTTTTGTATTTTGTAGGATTAGCAGCATGGAATAAAGCTATTAGGCGTGTGAAAAATCGAGCAGGGGATTAAAACAAAGTGTGGGTTGCCCGCACAAAGGATAACAATCTGGAGTGGTCTGAGTATCCCGTGAGCAGTTAATTCTTCGGTCTTTGGCCTACCAGAGAGTCTCTTTTACCCTCTTGTTTTTTACAATTTGCATTGAGGACATTGCACAATTTTAAGTGTGGGGTGAGAAGATTGTTTGAGTGATTTTATGTGCTATCTTAGCTTAGCTGTAATATTCTTTCTTAGTGTAGTGATGTTTGTTAAAAAAAAACTAAAAAAAGAAAACGAAAATAAAAAAAAATAGAAAAATATTTTCTTTTCTTTTCTTTTCTAGTTAGTTATAGTTAGATAATAATCCCCCTTGATTTTTCTTTGTGCATCGATTCTTTTCCTGAGGATGTCACTTGAACCGGGTAAATTTTTATTTTTATTTTTAGGATTAGATTTTTTTAGGAGTAGTAAAAGAGGGAGAAGAAAAAGCTTTGTGACATGTTTGCTACTACCATATTTAGGCCTGAGCTTGAGTAGTACTTTTCTCTGAGTGCTTGAGTAATAAATAAAATAGCAGAGTTTTTGACACTTAAGCTCAGGGTTGTGACTCTGTATGTAACTTATTCTTATTTTGTTGTTCGCTATGATCCTGTCTGTTTTAGAGTAAAATTGATCTGTCTTGAGTGATACTTGTGCCATGTGTGGTGAACATTTCTTGTTTATTCCATGTTTTGCATCTTAGTCTAGAACTTGCCCTGCATGTTATTGAAGCGAAATAAAAGTGTTGCTCTATCTAGAAGATAATAATAGGCTTTCTTTGATATGTCTTGTGAATTTTAGGCTTTTCGGATATTGTACCGCTAGTTAGCCCTTTGAACCTGTAGCCTTTTGTTTGGAAGCTGTATTTTTGCCTTAATCCTTTTGTTGAATCCCTATTTTTTGCACCCTGCTTCCTTGAGCATGTTGCTTAGACTATGATATTAATTGATAAATGTGAAGAAAGGGATGATTAGGTAAAAAATGGTGATCAACGATAGAGAAAAGTAATGAAAAGGTTCTCTTGAAAAGATGTGGCATGAAAAAAAAAAGTGAGAATTAAAAAAAAAAAATCCTTTGAAAAAAAAAACGTTCTTAATATGAGGGAAATACTTGTGAAATAATAGATAAAGAGAGGACTGAAAAATAAAGTGAAGAGTAGAAAATGATGGGTGATGAAGTCTAAAAGTGCAAAGTGCTTCGGGAAGTATAAGTCACTATTATATATTTCTCCTACCCGTCCCTTAGCCAATATTACAACCCGTTAAGTCATATTTGATTATATTCGAGCATACTTAATTAGTAGAGATGCACATAATGAGCCAACTTAAGATTCTTTGAGCATACATGTGAATTCGTTGTGAGTGTGAGGGTTGTTCTTTGATGCTAAGTCCTTAAATTATATTCATTCTTTGATTTGAGTGTATGCACTATTTATTCTTGTGAGGACACTTGTTTCATGATAGATAGGTGATTTTATTAGCTTCTTTGACAAAGTAGGTGAGTTAGCTTAAATTTGATAAGTTAGAGTCCCTCTCTGAGGTTAGAAGGCTAGAAGTTTGTTGTTTGTTTGTTTATGACTTATATATCTTGCACAATGATGAGGAAATGTATGTCTGATGATTTGAGTTGCTATAGGGCCTAACTGTTAGTATCAACCGAAGTGGTAGTCTTTCTAGGCTTGATTTATTGAGAGTGGTTCTAATGCTTACTCGAGGACGAGCAAAAGTTTAAGTGTGGGATTGTGATATTCGGCTAAAAATGCATATATTTACCCATTATTTTGTATTAATTATATTACTTTATGCTTAATATTATATTTTAACTGTATAAGAATAATGTAGTAGGAAGAGAAAGAGATTTGACGCAAAATTAAATAAAATACGGAAGAAAAAAAAAGAAAGTTAGAAGAATAAAAAAAAGGGGGACACCCTTTGGGTTTTGTCCCCAAAGTGCAACACAAGGAAATGGAATTCAAAGCGAACAAAAGAAGGCAAAGAAAAACGTACCTGGCAGCGCAAGAATTGAAAGACGGAACGTGAAATCGCTCACTGCTTTCAGCGCCACGGCCAGCTCACGCTGGCCTGGACGCTAGGTGATGTGATTTTTCCAACTTCGTTCGGGACAAGGTTATTTCGGTCCTATATGGCTTCAACTCGTATAAAAGGAGTTCTAAACTTAATTTGGAGGGGAACTATTATACTCTGAAGGAGAATTCACGGACGGGAACACAACCCACACTTGGAGGAGGCTTCTAACTTGTTTTTCTTCTCTTCTCTTCCTTTAATTTCATAGTTTATTAGTTCTAGAGTTTTGGGTGCTACATGAATATTGTAGTTTGAAGCTTGAATTGTTCTTATTATTTTATCATATTGGTTTATTTATTCAATCTTGCGCTTAATTATTTGATTGCTTGAGCACCAATTGAATACTATCTACGAATCTATGATTGAACTCGGGAGAGAAATGTTTTGATTGCAAATAAGATTGAATAGGGCAAGATCTTGAACTCGAGCATCGGGGACGGATTTGCAGTTAGGATAGGAATATACCTAATCGTCTTGCTTCGTTATTATACGGGAATTATAAATGCGTTCTTGTTAATCCTAATTCCATATATAGGAATATAGGCGTTAGGGTAGCTTGAATATGCGAGTAGTACTTCGGGAGAAGGCC